CGGACTCCTTCAACGCTTCATCCTGCTATGGCTGCTGGCTAGAGGGAAGCTTCACTGAGATGATGACCGTGCAGGCTTGCTTCGGGGTGCTGGGTTTACGGTTTCAGTCCTTTCTTGGGTTTACTACTACAGCAGACGCTTCGCACCCCCCCCCCCCCAACCCCCACGAGCAGTACGTAAATCTACGATCTAATCGTTGCGACCTTCAGGCATATGCTAGGAAAGTAGGATTAAAATAGGCTTTTGGGTTGGGGAAAACGTGGTACACACAACCCTAACAAAACTCTAAAGCCTTAAGAGGACCACGTCAAGACCCATCGGGTTGCCTCAGTGTGTCCCGTCTGCATCTCATCGATCAAGTCGCGAAGGCGCTCGATCTGGACCACTTGAAAGTTCTTGGGACTGCCTAAACCCTACGTATACTAGAGCTTATTGCTTGGATCATTCCGGGAGTGTTTCCAAATCGCCACAGCTATGAACTGCCCAGGCTCAACACAAAGAATTGTTTCATGTAATATACTTGTGTTACGTGGGGCCTGAACACCAAAATCCCAAGCCCCGCCCGTCGCCAGAGCCCAAATCCTAAGGCGAGGAATCCATGTAGGGCTCTTGATTAATTGATTGGGAATTTGGGGAATAGTATAATATACTTATAAGGGAGCGACCAGGGAGGGTTACCGCAACTTTCAACCCTATATACAAGGATCTCATGGAACTCCTCGGTAAGATCCGGAATCTACCATGCAGAACTGTTGATTTCTGGAGGTTGCTGCCGATCCTCAATCCAACTGCTACGCGTGTCCATGTCACAAAGGTATTGTTGAGACGCTCCTGGTTCCCCAAACCCTAAACTCCAAACCCGTTGGCACACAAGTAGTTATACATTGGGTGACTTGCATCATAACGCAACGACGAAGTCCCTGGTCTTCCAATAACGCTAAGGGTCCATGTACTCATAAAGTATGTACTTCGGCATGAAGTACCTATATGGGAACCCCCTCAAGGTTGAAGTAAAATAACAACTACTTGGGCATATGGACCGTTAAACCCTAAAGAGCTCTTATAGAACCCTTATGGAACCCTGAAAGGGCTACATGGAGCCTGAGGGTAAGCCAAGGCGCCCAGTGTCGATTTCCGGCCCTCGCTG